CCTTAAATGAAGAGGGGGTTAGGGGAAAGCAATTGGCAAGTAGTTCCTCTTATCCCAGAAGAAATTATGCAACATGAAATGGAAGCATCTTTTCTTTAAGCCTCTTGTCTTTGGGGTTTACTACAGTACACCCTTATTGTTTTTAAGAAGAGCTACTTGGTTAACATCTTTCTGTTTGGATTTGCTACAGTTTCCTATGGTTACAAGGTTCCTGAGGAGCTTTTAAATGAATATATTAAAAATAAGAGTAGGATTTTCTCAATAGGCTGATAATATGAGTAATAAAAAATTGAATTAGCCCACAGTAATGATTTAGCCTTACATTGTGTACTTCACAGTGAGTTTACTCACGTCACCTCAAAACAGATCGTTTTTGTTTCAATCCCCTCAGTCCAAACTGCAAAATGTAAATACAGTATACTGCTAAAGATCCATACAGGAACAGGGAATTTTACATATTACTTCTGTCTTTAGAAAAATAGATCTAACTGCAGCACATACTAAAAGAAAATCACTCTGAAAAGGCTGAGTTGGGGAAGAAAGGATGCTTATAACCATAAATGAAAATCTGTTCCCCCAAATAAAAAAGAATTAAAATGACAGCAAGAGTAACATTCATTTTTAAAAGAAGGTGAGCTTCATTTGAATTGTACCTGACTGCTGCTCAGTAATGCAGACATTTCGGTTGTTCCATCTGGATAGTGAAACAAATGTTTCATTGAGGTCAGTGGAGTGGGTGGTATGTAACAGATATTTCACTCTGCTCATTTGATATTCTGCTGGAATCTGGTGGAGGTAATTATGGGGAAGGCATTTCAAATTTTTTTGATGAAGCTCCTGATAGCATAATGTGGATATATATTTTTATGAGTAAATGCAATACACTGAAAAAATCATGTTTAAAAAATGGGTAGGGTTTGAAACTGCGAAGCATGATTATGTAATTTTGCTGCCTCACACGTGCTCTGCCCTGTGGCCCATTCTTTCTGAATATTGCCCTGCCCATGATACACCTATCAGCAGAGCGTGACCGGTCTTGGGTTCTGTTGCCTGGCACTATTAAGTCCTCAGCATGTTGCCCGAGATGGTGGGAGCTCTGTAAGTGTTTGTTGAGTGAATGAATACATGAATTATTAATTAAATCAATTACATGCTGACTCTGTCTCTTTGCCAATACTGACAGTGTTTTCCAGACTAACTCGGGGTGAGTTAAAAACCAACTAGACACGTGACAAGCGCTTCTTCATGAGTAACCCTGGTTGTTGGTGAAATGTCCTTCTGCAATGCCCAAGTTTGAATTATAAGTATTTCCAGAGTAATTCATCAATAATGATTTTCTTTAGTTATATACCTCTGATCTCATGACATTGGTACACTAACACAGGATAGATAGATAATAGATAGATAGATAGATAGATAGATAGATAGATAGATAATAGCTAGATAGATACATAGACAGATAGATAATAGATAAATAGATAGAAACATCTGCCATAAATACACGACTTGGGTGACAACTATTTTCCTGAAGCCTAGCTTAAATGACTATTCACTATATTAAATTGAACACTTAATTATTAAAATGTGTTCATATTTACATTTTGCACCCCAATTATGTCCAAATATAATCTCACTCCTGGTCTTATATGTAATATTAGATAAATTTGATTGTTTCCTCACTCTTGAGTCACTTTTTTCACTTGCATTCTGAGATCTCACACTTTCCTGGTTTTTCTCCTACATCAATAGTTACTCTTTCTTGTTCCTTTTTTGCCAAATCCTTCCTCTCTTCTCAAAGTCTAAATATCAAAGTTCTCTGTGACTCAGTATTTGGGAATCTTTGGGCCTCTAACTACATTATTTCCTAGTTACAAAACTTTCACAGTTCTCAGTGTCTTTCATTTTTCAGTAATGGTTTTCAGACCATCCCAAGGCCAAAAGAAATGCCTCAATTCTATTTATTAGATAGTTAGATCAAAATGCCTTACCAAGTATTTACACCCTGTAGTAAGCTGAATTATGGCCCCAAAGATATCCAGATCTGAATCCCCAGATCTGTTACCTTATATGGCAAAAGAGGCTTTACAGACATGGATAATTTAAGGATCTTAATGTAGGGAGATTTTGCTAGATTACCTGGATAAACCACCATAATCACAGTGGTCCTTGGAGGAAGGAGGAAAGAGGGTCAAAGGAGACAGAAGGCGAAATGATGATGGAAGCTGGTAGAGTTTGAAGATACCATGCTATTGGTTTGGAAGATGGATGGATGAAGGGTTCATGAGCCGGGAATGCAAGAGATATAGCTCTAGTAAATGGGAAAAGGAGGAAAATGGGTTCTCCCCTGGAGCCCCCAGGAGGAATGTGGCCCTGCCCACATCTTGATTGCGGTCCAGTGAAATCATTTCAGATTTGACTTCCAGAGCCAAAAGAGAGTAGTTTGATGTTGTTTTAAGTCACAGAAGTCGTAACAATTCATTGCTGTACTCATAGCAAACTGATGTCTGTCCTAATAGCTTCATAGTCATATTATAAATTGCACAAATTTCAAAGAAAATATAATAGTATGCCTATTTTTCACTAGTGCAATTTACGCACCTGTTGTGCACTGCGCAATTTCTCATATCCCCCAATCTAATTGGACATGGCCACCCCCACTTCCTCTTCCACATTGATTTTCATGTAGTAGTTGCTTTCTTATCATAGTTCACAAAAATATGATATCATTAAAAGGAATGTGGTTCAAACTAATGTTGAAACTGTAAGCTACCTAGACCTCATATTCGGGCACTGACACATACCAAGTGTTGGCATTTTTCTCTCAAAAATTTTTAACTATCCTGCATTGCTTCTGGCACACATTTTGGTACCAGGATCCTAGGTGATTAAATCTGGTACCACACTTTAAGATACTATCTCCCTACTGATTTCTGATCTATTGTTTCTACCAGTAACCACTCCCTTGAAGCCTCAAGTTGTGTATCCAACCACCTATTAATCTTCTCAACTTGGATATCTAAAGGACATCTCACATATGTCCTTGACAGAATGGCTATCACCTTCAAACTGCACCACTCCCTGCACTGATCCCTACACCTCACAACCTTACCCCGCTCCACTGCTCCACTTCTACTGAGGGTTTCTCCTCTCGGTCAATGGCATTCTCATTCTGGCCAATTAACTCTGGCTAAATATTTCAATCTTCTTCACTATCTCTCTTTCTTTCACTGCCTTCATGCTTCCCATCAGTAAATCCTGTCAGTGACAACCTATACAGCCCAAGCCTCACTGGGATCATGTCTCACTTGGATCTCTCCTATTGCCTCCCCACTGGCCCACTGATTTCCTTCTTATCCTCATGTCCAGAGTTGTCCTCATGTCGATCAGGCCCTGTAACTCTCCTGCTCAAAACTCAAAGATCAAAGACTTGGTAAAGCTCATCGAATAAACACAAAGCCTTTTTCATGGTCTAAAGTAGTGACTCTCAACCAGGGGCAATTTTGCCTCCCAGAGGACGTTTACCAATGTCTAGAGACTGTTTGGCTGTCATATGGAGAGGGAGTGCTACTATCTTCCAGTGGACAGAGGACAGAAAGACTGCTAAAGACCATACACCTCACAGACAGCCTCCCATAACAAAGAATTATCTAGCCCCAATACTAATTGTCCTGAGGGTGAGAAACCCCAGGTTACACAGACCATGAGTTCAGGTCCTTGCCTAGAGATCTTACCTGATTTTCCCCCACTGCTGACTTTCATCGAGACTGACTTTCCCATTCCTCCTACATGTCAAGCCACTTTCTTACCTCAGGGGCATTGCCTCTGTTTTTTATCTATTTATTTATTTATTTTACCTTGCCTAGAATGCTTTCACCCCAGATACACACATTTTATTTTGTTTGGGCCACTCAAATGCCCCCTCTTCAACAAGGCCATTCCTGACCTTCCTATCTAAAAGAACTGAGAATGTAGAGCACCTTTCAGAAACCTACTCAGATGAGAAAGTCAGGAGATTCCAGAGGAAACTCAGCCCAAAGGAAAAGAGATGTGAGCCAGCATGCACGGCCTCCTGGCCAAGGACTCTGAGAAAATTAGATTTATTCTGACTGTAGCAGGGGTCCGTACTAGTCTGCTTTGGCTACCATTAGAGTGGGGGACTTAAAACAAAAGACATCTGTGTCTCACGTTTCTCAAGCTCTAAGTGCTCACAGATTCGATTCCTGGTAAGGCCACTCTTCCTGGCTTGCAGACGCAGACAGCTACATGCTCACTGGTCCTCACATGGCAGAGAGAGAGCAAGCTCTGATTTCTCTTCCTCTTCTGATGAGGATACTAATCCCATCAAGGAGGTCTCACCCTCACAACTTCATCTAAACCTAATCACCCCACAAAGGCCTCACCTCCAAATCCCAAAATGTTGAGGGTTATGACTTCTATGTAGAAATTTTGAGGAATGCAAACATTTAATTCATAACAGGGTATTTTAGATTTATCTTTGAGACGTCATATTGGATTTACTGATGACTCATGATTTGTGCGTTTGTGTATGTATGTATGCATGTGTGTGCAAGGGTATAGAAAGAATACAAACTCTGGGGTAACTATGGGGTTATTAGGGAGCAAACTATGGAAACTACGAGTAAAATCATTTTTAAAAACCTACCTCACTACCATCTTATATTTTCTAGTATTTTTATTGATCATATACTGATGTTTTTCTGAAAAAGGTCCGATAAAAATTTGTCAAAACCAATTCGTTGTTATAGAAAAAATATATAAAAGTCCTATTTAGTGCTCTAAGACAACCGTGTTATACAATACTTTCTTCAGTTATTTTATGGAAATATTTTCTCTGGTTCATAAACTTCTTAAGTTCCTTCTTTAGAAAATGCATATCCGTTATCAGAGAAAGACTATAAAAAACGTAAGTTTCTATGACAGCTTTAAATATAAGCCATAGGGTCAATTGGGTCAGCATTAAATGTCGCCTCCCCACTTACGAGCGGTGTGATTATGGTCCCGTCGTCTCATCCCTCTGTGCCTCGGTTCACTCATCTGTAAAGTGGGAATAATAATAGTATTTTCCTCATATGACTAAAATGAAGAGTAAATATGGTAATGGAGGTAAAACAACTTACAGTAAGAGCTCAAATAATCTAGGGTAACTATACATCTGGGTTGCCTGAGACAGCCCTGGATTCATTCTGTCTGTCTTACAGTTTATTTAAGAGCATTTAAAAAAAAAAGTCTACAAAATGAAATGTTTGGAACATAAATTATATTTGTCAATTATATGGCACCCTAGCTATAAGTCTCATATTCTCCCTCTCTACCTCATCATCTGTAGACAGCAAGCTTTAGATCAGACCTCAAAAAATAAAAATAAAAAAAGACATAACTGAGCAAGTACATTTTGAATTGCCCCATGTGCCTAGTATTGGGGCAGAAAACATAGGGAATGCCTAAACATGGCCTAAAATTCTAGCAGGAATATGTGATACATATGAAACAAAGCAAAATGGTATAGAGGGAGGAGCTAATGAGATTCAACTAGTAAGTGCTGAAGATTCTGAAAAGAAAAAGAACTTTGTGGGCTGGTGAAAAGTGGAAAAGCTTCATTATAGTTAGGACGGGCAAGATGTGGAGGGAAAAGTGAAGAGAAATCAGCAATGACCCCATCCACTACTTTTGAGGGAGAGTTTCAAAAATATCCATTAATTGATTAAATAATAACTTGCATGCCAAGAAGAGATGATCATGCACTTCTTCTGTATTTAGTGAGAATACTTACTTTCTTGATAAAAAACAAGGAATATAAAATGGAAAATGGAAATGCATGCTAACAATATTGGGTATAATAATACGAGAGTCATTTGTGAGAAAGCCCTCTCACTTTTGCCAAATGAGAGTGGTAAGACTATTGAAAATTGCATTTATTTCTAGTGTCAGCATTGGCAAAGTACAGCAATGTTTACCTACATTCAATTAGCAATTATTGTTTACATTTGCACATTATACCACTAATGATGTATCTTTATCACTAAACTGAAATTCCTCTGTGAAATGCTATAGAACTTGAATTTTGTGATAAAAGAAATAATATCATAAAAGTAAAATCCTGTTTATCAGGATACTATCCTTGTTTATAACTCACATCTTGCTGGATGATTTAACAATTTTGATTTACATAGTATTTTGTGATCCCAGAATATCCTGGAAATGAAGAATTGTGCTTAGCTCACCTCAGCAGGCTGCATTTGTTATCTTTAAGTCAATGTATTGATTTTGGAATAGATTGTATATAAGAAGTCAGAGACTACTGATTTATGTTGATATTTTTGTATCATATGTTCTAGCCAATCACAATAGGCCTGGATATGCCATTATAAACTTTTTCTTTCAGCAACTGAAAACCATAGATGTTCTCAGATAACAAACTTGGATTTTCGGAAATTATCAATAGGCTTCTTTGTTTTACAAGTGGGACAATGCTTCCCTGGTGGAAAGATGAAGTGAGTCATAGGATAGTGGTAACCAAATTTGTTCTACATAGTAAGATGCCCTGCTACTCCAGGAGGTAATGTCACGAAACAGAAGGTTTCAGTCCCTGAAGTATCTGACTGCCAATGATTTGAGACTCAGTAGCTGTATGGACAAGGAAGGCTGAAATTAGGATAGCCTGCAATGGGGTTTCAATTTCATAGTTGTGGCTTTCTATCTTTTCATTTTCCAACAAATATCCTTGTGAGATATTTGTGCCCACTTGATTGATTCACTACCATAGAATGATAAGAAAAAATGAAGAAGAGATGGAACACATTTTAAAAAAATGGTTATGCCCTCCTGTGGTTACCATTTAGAAGTATATTTTGCAGAATGTCTATTTTGAATGGAAGCCTGACATTTAGGCCTCGTTTGCCGGATCCCTCTGTAGATTCTACATCTCCTATATGGTTGGCGTAAGCCTGCCAAAGCTTTTCCTTCCTTCGTCTGCTAACCTAATCAAACATTTGCTCTCCTAAAACAAAGATGGAGCCGGGAATGTTTTTCTTATATTTCAATTGCCACTTGAAACTGAAGACTCGATTTCTCCTGGATCATTTCAATACCTCATGTATGGTTGGCATTTACCCGAATTCACAGGTTGTAAATGCTTTAAAAGTTATACTGAGTCCTTATGGAGAACAGGGATTTCAGTTTCTGAAATGGAGCTGCAAATGTGCCCGACACTGTTCATGGTATACACCAAATCCAGTTTTTAATGGATCAGGTTGGCACCATTTAGGTATGGCAGGGGCGCAAAGTGTTCCTGGAGTCCCCCCCCCCCCCATCAAGGATACAATTGTTTCTAAGTTTCAGAGTTGAATGCTTCATTAAATGCTGGAGCATGTGACAGAACAGGCTTCCCAATTGCTAACTTAATATTTAGCTTCCAAAATTCTGAGACAAACACCTTGATGCCCCCTCAGGTCTCTACAATTAGCCACATTTGCTAATCTTTCCCAATACGTCTCAGTAGACAGAAAAGAATGCAAAGTTTTAATTTGCTAATCACCCAGTTGGAGAGGGGCCGTGGGGGGAGATGCTAATCATCTGCAGACATCTGTAATGACCCTTGGACAAAACCGAGGAAAACTAAATCAAAGCTTTGACAAGGGCAGGAGAGCGGAAACAGAAGCCCTAATTGTGGCCATGTGAAGTGCACTTTCCCCTTTTGTAGCTTTTGTAATAGAATTGCACAATACTTTATAAAGTAACTTTTATAGACAGACCCAGAAATGACTTTTTCCATCTTTGCGGATAAATGGTCAGACTCGATCTGTGAAATATGCGAAGAAGGACCGACATTATGGTGCAAATGTAGCAGACAAAAGGGTTTGGGCGAGCTTTTGCCAGTTAAATTTGGCTAACCTGCAGAAAGCCTATTGTCAAGCCAGCCATGCTTCACTGAGCTCTCTTCCCTCTTTATGGTTAAGTGAACCTCAAAACAATGACAAAGAAATATGCACTGAGTCACATATTCTAAGAAATAGACTGTACTCTCCTCAAATCGAAATAACGGCACTTTAATTCTTGGATTTTCCACATTTTCGTTGGTAAAGCTCCTATTTGCTTTCTCTGAATCTGTATCAGTTCATGCAGTTCTGCCAAGTGGGGAAGCTTTGCAGGACACTGCCACTGTAGCACTTGAAATATTAAGATGAACAGAACAAGCAAAAGGTAAGCTTACTTCATTGCAGTATTTTGAGTGTCTGTTTCTTTGCTTGCAAAAGTTTACATGTTTTTGATTGAGAGAGGCTTTGTTTAATACCCATCCTGATATAAATAAACTACTCTTGTTACTGTTTTTAATGGCTGAAGGATAGAAGGGAAAAAAGAGAAAGAAAATGTGATGCCAACTCACTTATAAAATAATAAAAATCCATGGGTTTTGCACTAAAATATAGATACACACGGACATAATTGTCAGAGGTGAACTGTATTCTCAAATGGGAAAACTGGGAAGATGGTTCATGATTTTTCGTAGCTTCAAAAGGTAATTTTTGGATTATTTTTAGTGAACTTCTTTTTAAGAATGAGACGTAGGAAATTTGATAGAGAAAAAAAATAAGCATGGTCTAACTTCGGACGAGCAGCCACTTATGAAAATAATTTCCCATTCTGCCCTGTTGCACTTTCTTGTGATTAAAATAACCTTTATAAATGGACATTTTAAAGAGTTTTAGTTTAAAATGGCCTCCAAAACCAGCCAAACATCAGAGATCTCAAATTTTTGTTGATAAAATCTGCTCAGTCAACTCAGGTGGATGGCTGACATTTAAGAAGTCTAGTTAGTAATCGCCCCTCCCAGAGCGGTGTCCTTGAGAGAGGGTCTAATGGAGTGGTGAATCTTTGTACTTGTCTCTTCCCACAGCAAGTTCTCTGGTTTCAGTGTTCCAAGTTCTCCAGTATTGAGTTTTTCTTGCTGGAGTAAAGGCAACCAACTTTCTCTAAAACACTTCCTAAAAGCTCCCAGTCAATAATTCCGTGCTACTCCCTCCATGGTCTTGACAGCTCCTCACAGGGTTCCTTACTGTTTTTCCGTCTCAGTTTTCTCATCTCAGCAGGGGTCTAGCAACCCACATTCTGATTTACTAGTCTTTTACCATCTCCAGGAAATGCAAAAGCTCATTGATTTCTCCTGCTCTTTTTGTGTTTCCTACCTTCTCACATAGGAGTAAATGGAGTTCTTAGATGAAGAAACTCTCATGTTCAAAACCTTTCACCTTTCTAGGAGTACCCATCCCTTTGGATGAACAAAAAATAGGAAGAGTCTATAAGCATTTCAAAGGCTGCTTGGAGTGTTTCTGTAATAGGAAAAGAACGCCTTAAAAAAAAAAAAAAAAAAAAAAACTTCTTAAAGATATGTAAAAGCTGCCAGATTCTGATTTTGCAGCAAGTTACTTAGTTACTTTGCTTTCCTGGGAGTATATGGATTGTGAAAATTGATACAGAGCTGGAAAAGAGTTCTGAGTAGAGCATCCCAAAAAAGTATGGCACCCATGTGACCAACGTCATCCATTTTTGAGGATGAAGGATCCAAACATAACATTCAGTGTTATCATGTTGATATGCTCAGTAAAGCGCCTTTCAATAAGTTAAATATACGAGAAAACTTATTATGGAACAGGGAATTATGTGGTTAAAATTATATCTACCAATTTCACTTGCTAATCTCTCCTAGGAAAGAAGTAGATTTATAGTGAAGTATAAAGGGCTTCATGATGGCTTGCTGATGTCATGTTTAAACTCAGAGGATTTTGCCACAGAATGGCACTTCAAAACCTTTTCAAATACAGACCATAACAATAAGGAATACTCAAAATATAATTGTTTGGGAAGAACTGATAGGACTACAGATGTTCACTAACGTGTAACCAATATGTATTTTTAATGATCTTACTGTGGATATAAGTCATTTTTACAAAGATTGGAGAGTTCTCTAATTTTTGAATTTGAATAAGCAACTATGAGGGAAAGTTTCCAAAACGATTCATAATTTATCTCTGTGGAATTAGAAATTCAAGGACTATTCTTGTAACCTTAGTGGATTTTCTGATGATTATTTACTTTGAAGTCTGAGATTCTGTTTGCTGATAATTATTAAAATGCAGTCTAAGCAGTGTCTTAGCTACAAATATGTGATAAATTACTATTTGTAACTTTCATTTTTTTTTTATTGCTTCCAACAATATCTGATAGTAATGTAAGGAAACCTCTGAAAAGGTACTTTGAAAAAAATCTTAGGAATGATTTGTAACCCTCTAAAATGTGTAATTTCCATAAACATCAATTACTTCAAAACTTAATTAATACATGCTTTAAATTTTGGGAACAAAATGTATATTTCCCTTTCCATATCTGTGTACTGAATGTTCTGTGTGTGAGTGCTATTAAGTTTATATATGAGGGTTAATCGAATCTGGAATGGAAGAAGGAGTTGAAAACGGAAATGGCTAACATATGTCAATTTTACATTTCAAGTTAGATAAATCATTAGTTTCTAGGGAGAAAAAGCAATTAAAAAATTAGTGGAAATAAAAATATTGTGAAGACCGTGGTACTACACTAGGGCTGTAGCAGCTTCAACTATTGCTCTTAAGACCTCAAGTGTGGTCCATTCCTGCTCCTAGCTCTGTGCACACCCTCTGCAGTTACAATATTTTACCAGTTAAAAATGATCACTTTACTTTTTTACACCAAATTTCGATTTTGACTGTTTAATAAGTGACCTAAAATAATAACCTTTCATATCTAAACTACTCTCCTAACTATGAGCAACCCTTACCAGAAAATCAATTTTTTTTTGAATAACCTAAATTACAGTGAAACTTTAAAAAAGTAAATACTTCTTAGTTAAATTGACATCTTATAAGTATATATAATTTGTATATGGGTATACATATTTTGTGGAGTATGTTTGTATGTGGCTATACATATTTCATTTATATGAAACCATTACATATGATATGCCTACCTGTACATGATTATGTGAATTTGCTGACACTGTTATCTCTTGAAGTTTCTCACACAAGTTTCCTAAGATTTTAATAAGGACTGAACACAAAGCAAATGATCCAGGGCAGACTACTATTTAATTTATTTGCTAGGAAATGAATGAATCCACTTGTATTCAATAATTATGATTGGAATTAAATTAACCTAGAATGAATAAGAGTACATCCTCTTTTTACTTTGTAACTAGTATGAAATTTCTCGTGGATTTCATTCACTCCCCTATTTTTATGAATTATATGACTATGTTTTTATTGCTGTCAGTTTATGCTGATACAATTTTTATATATCAGAAATATGTAATATTGACATGAATATAATATTAATCTCACTACACATTAAATATCTAGGTTCATATCTGATATAAAGATGAGAACCTTTCAAAGTTTGAAAGACTCTCATCTTCAAAACTACATTTTGTTTAAAAATGTTATTTGTAATCTTATTAACATACCCCAATTAAACATATGCTTAAATTGCATTAGTTAATGGTGAAGATTCATATTTTTCTAAGTTGTGATTTGTCTATGATTTAATTTAAATTATTGATATGACATTGGAAAAAACATATAGTTTATATTTTTGCTTTTGAATATTCACTTGTGTAAAACATTGAAAAATAATCGGGGAAACTGTCTATCTCCAGCATATACATAGGTATAGATAACTGTGCACCCTTGCCTTTTAACAAGTTAAATGTAATACAGAGAAAAATTTTTATGAAACAGGGAATTATGTGGTTAAAATTAACTGAAAAGTAATTTTTGTTTCATGGAACCTGACTTTCCTTACTTTTAACTTTCATATGTATTTTGTCTTTCAAAGAAGGCCTACTCTATGTACTATTTAAATGGTCTAATTCAGCTTCCTTTAACCTATTGTTCATTTATTTTATTCAATTTATTTTTATAATTATTTTATAATTAAAATTATTCTTGCCCTATGTGAGAGTGTTATAACTTGAGTAAAGCAAACACTAACTCAAAGAACAACATTAACTTTGGACTGAAACTAATCACAGAACATTATAATCTTGAAGTCTGATTCCTAAGGAGGTTATTACAGAATGAATAAGTTGATTATGATGGAAATTTTCCTCCTGGTGTCATTCTGGTCCTCACTCGCATACCCTGCAATAGAACTTCACGAGCACTCATGTTCTTCAATATTTGCTGGTGTAACAATTCACAATTGAAGCCTCAACAGTGATAGTAACACTTAAATGAAATTGTTCTACATAATTTCATGATATATGAAAGAGATTAAAATAATTAAATTGCTTTAATATATCCCATTAGTGTTTGAGATATCTTGATTCACGTTTTCTTTCAAGCCATAGAAAGTGCAGTTTCTGTCCTAGGAAAGCAGCATTTCATGAAGTTGGGGGTGGAGAGGAGTGACTCCAGATGCTGACAGAGAGGGCGTTGGTGCAGCGAGACCTGAAGCTGGGGTGGAATAGAGTGAGGAAAGGACAGTGACAATGTCTAAATTTTTATATGAATCTGTGAGTTTGAATTAGTTTTTGTTTTACATTTAACTGTTGCTCAAAACCCAGAGAGTCCATTTTAAGACAAAAAAAAAAAAAGCCTGTTTTGCTTCTTAATTTCTATGCTTTGAGAACTCAAAATTCAAGGAAAACATACACGAACGATTCCTCAAAATTTTTCTGAGATTAATTGACAATTTCAGTGTTATTGCCTAGTGCACTGCACATCTGAGCAATGCTTAGAGTTGGAACAATGTGTGTTCTTCATTTGAAAGGGGTTCTACAGTGGTAACTTGTCTCCTTTTTTATATAGATATATTACAATCAAGTGGCTTCTTGCTGCTACTGTAATTTAGATTTATAATCAAACCACTGCACCAATATTAGAGTGCAATTAATTACATGATATCAAAAGGAGAGTGAACATAAGAGGAAACTGAGAGAGAAGTAAGTTGTGAGACTTGCTTGAATGTGGGGAGAAATGATAAAACCTTATGGTATTGTATTCTGCGAGTATAGCTTTGCCCAAGAATGTAAAAATTGCTATAGTTATTCACTGACAGGATCTTGTCCCTTTTACAACACCAGAGTCTGTCTTGCGAGACTTTGCCAAATGTATCTTGCCCGGAACTTCAAAGGCTAGGAACATACTTCCAATCACAGTCAATAGCATTAATAACCCACCCCCTCCCCCAACTACCATGAAATCATTATGCTAAATGCACCCAATTCTCTTCTGAAGACATTTCTATTTCTAATTCTATTCATTACTCACATGGCAAAAAGCAAAGTTATTTTAAAATCCAGCCTCTGTATGGTAGAAATTGATGAGGCACACGATTTTTCCAAGTGGATATATTTTTGACATTAAAACGATTTCTTTAAATAAGAAATGTTTATAGGAAAAGTGAACTCAGTTAGGCGAACTCAATTTAGGTAGAGAAAACTTTGAGAGCTTTGCTCTGAAAGATTATTCATATTTGACCATCATGGGAGGCTGTTCTCTGCAAGGCTTTCTATATTTGTACGATGCCCTTTCTAGGAATATGAGCAGGAAAGGAATTTCACACATCTTTCATTCCATTCTTTGGATAACAGTACATTTCCATGATACTTTGCAACATTTAATGTTCTACAACTACCACAGAAGGGTCTTTTTTTTTTTTAAATAAAATTAGATTTGTAAAAATAGGGTAAAAAGAGCTCAACACGTGCAAGCTATGCAGCAAATAAAGTAATTTCCTCTAAGTCTGTGATATTGCCACTTACCTTAGCAGTCTTGATTCTCCTTCATGATGGCAGTTGCTTAGGACTTAGAGCCACAGAAAATATAAAATACCTAGGGGACATATTCCGGTACTGTACATTAAATTTGAGGATTTTACATGTGATAAAGTATGTCAGTGTTGCTTACAGGGAATTCCAGTGATACCTCAGCTTTCTTGGACTTATTATAAATCCTTTGTTGGAATTATTGTGGCTGGTTCAATAATTCAGATTAGCCCTCATGTTTATTAATGCACTACATCTGTGCAAACAACATGTCAAGCAGAGAGTTTATTGTAATTGCCTGAGCAAACAGAACCTGAAAGAAGCAATTTCCAGTTACAATGTGCTATGACAAGTAATGAGGTAATTGGCATTCTGTCCTGATTACTTCCACCTTCTTTTTCATCAGGTCTATATTGTGTGTGATAGATAGTTTTATAAGAAATGAAGGTGTTTGATAATATGGTTCGCTGCTGCTTAAGGTTAGTGATTAAAGACAATCATCATTTTCTCTCAGAGATCTTATTAGCTTTAACATTATTTATTCATATGTGTAAGGATGTGCCCAGGACCCAACTTCTCAGTGCACTGCATACCGTTAAAATGTAAACGCAACCGCCACCGAGCGAATGCAGAGCATGATCTAGGTTTCCAAGCATGATGGGACACAGTGACTTTCTGCAGATGAAATCTATGTACTAACAGTGTGGGTTAGAATAATGGCTTTGAGCTGCATCTGTATCCAACATTCACCTGCTTTAGAATAACAGAAGCAGCATGATATTTAAGGGCAAGATGGTAATTTGATGCTGAATCCTCATTTTTGCAATTGTATAACTTTCTACAGACATTACCCTTTGCTGGCAGCCTGCAGTGAGGAAAAAGATGAAATGCATCATGTTTCCAAACCCATCATTAATAGTTTAGAAAGTTTAAGAGTCCTAGTCTTAGAAAAAGAAAGAAATTAGGAAATGAGCAGAAGTTGTTTTAGAAAGAAAGAAGAAAAACTGTTGTATTTTTATTTCAAAGAAATGTTTTCTTCTTAATTTATACCCTTTGCTGTTGTCATTTTCAAATCTATCAAGAAATTTTAAAAAGCAGTACCTTTAGATGAAGAAAATGCCTGGGGAATAATGCACATTCACTCTTTTTGCTCCCATCATTCTAATGCTATCTTTAGATTGGTGTTTCCCCCACTAACTGACCTCCTATCATTTTCCAGGTTTCACCCTAAGTGCCCCTTCCTGGCTGCCCTGGCTATGTGCTCTCAAAGCTCCCCGCATCCTTCATGTCACAGGTCAATAGTTGTTTACATATCCATCTTTCCAGCTAGAGACTATAAACTACATATGGACAGGATCTCGTCTGCTTACTTGGAGGGGCTCTAGCCGACCGACAGTGGTCTCAGCGTTGAAATTGTGCTGTCCATAGTGAAATTCCAGTTCTGCCACTAACAGGTGACATAAACTCAGACAAGTCTAAAAATTTTCCTAAAGTTTATCACCGCATTTGAAAATCAGTCGAATAATTCTACATTTCTCATAAATGCCATTGAAAAGATCTAATATCAAGGGTCTCAGAGCAGCGCCTGGCATGCGTCAAAGAAACTCAGTCAATATTTCAGACATGGATAAATGTCGACTTGAGAAAACTCATCTTCCAGGTCTCACTTTCTAGAATGCCCCATTTTTCCTAGTAAGCAGGAAATGACAATCTATTCAGCCATACTTTACATTCTGAATGTACTCAATTCTATAAGATTACTAATAGGAGACATAATGCAAATGGGGGAGTGAGTATACGTAGAGAAAACTGGTATAACTTTTATGGTTTATTTCCTTAAAAAGGCCCAGACTGGCATCAGATCTTTCAGAAGCTAGGTGGAACTCATCCTCACAGTTGATAAGCCTAAGAAATCTTCAGACACTCATGACCTACCTTTGACAAGACTGTGGGCTGCACAACAATATTCCAGTCTTCTAGTTGGAGAGGGACTCTCAGATCCATACATGGCACAAAATGAATGAAGTTCTGCAGGAAAATTCCTATTAGGTATCCCCATAGTCAGAAGCTGATGACATTCTACATATTCTGGCAGGAGGCCCCATAAAGTTTCTATTGCTAAAGAGAATTCTTCCACTCATCCATTTTCAAATTCCAGTACCAACCTAAGTGCTTCAGTCCTTGTGCTTACATGTTTTCCTTTTCTTAAAGTGTGGATAACTTTGTAAAAAAAAAAAATATTCAGGGCAATTACTTATGCCTCAGGAAGTAGAGAGAAAGAAAAATAGTGCTGGCACGCAGAGAAGACTGTGAGTCTGGGACAGAGCTGTAAGGAAGACAGGCCATGGTGAGCAGGAGCAAAACACCACACTGAGACGCAACCTCTTCAACTCCTCATTTTCATCTTTGTTTTCTTCATTTTTTTCTTTATCAATATTTTCGAAGGCTTGTTATGAGTCAAGCGTAATGCCCGGCAAGAGTAGCTACCTAACAAGTACTTGTTGAAAGAATGGATAGATGGGTGGATAAATTGATGAGGGCTGTGCCGGGTGTCTCTACCTGGATTTCTTATTAGTTACAGCAGACACTCTGGGGAGAAGTCCCAAACTGTATTTAAAGGTGCCAGCAACCATTTATTTATCCAAATGCCATGTGCTCTCTTACTTGTGTCCACCTTCTCCGATTCAGAGTAATAATAACCATCTAACTTGGAAATGGCAAGCCTACAAAGGAATCTTTCCATCACAATTGCAGGAGTAGTGGCCCCCCAAAAAACTTATATCCACACCCAAAAAAATGCGCTTTCTACTGAAGAGGACACTTTTTTGAGTGTCCCACATCTAGTAATGGAAAAGCAAGCACCCAGAACTAACTCTTGTCTGAGAAACTGAGGGGTGTCTCCACAGAATTGAAGCCTATTTCATGCTCAGGTCTTCAAAATCTTTGGTAACATCTGAGGCATAAGGTGACAGAACTGACAGAAAGTCCAGAAAACTTTGGAGGTTTAGACAGATATAATTAGTCAGAAGTAGTAAAGACTTGTATTAACTAATTTAAGGAGTTGTAACTTTTATTTCTTCCAGATGAGCTTATGTTATAAACTTAATGCTAAGTACATTCCAGAGGAGGGAGAATCAAAGGAGAGAGAAGGGTAAAATTAATTAGTGCATTATTTATTTATTTAGTTAGTTTAAAACCTAGAAAAGGCAAAAATGCCGGGTGCAAAAGGTTTAGGTGTTTCCACAGAGTGAGGATGACCCCAGGCAGCAGTAGCATCTAGCACTTATGTATCACTCATTTTATATCAAGATATGTCGATATTTGATGTTTAATTTTCACATGATATTCTGAAAATATTGAAACTAAGAGGTCACACAGGTAAAAAGAAAAAAGAACTTTGTCCCATCCCCAATGTCCATGCATTTTCTACTATTCATCATTTTTACTTAGGAGACTTGTTAGAAAACTAGAGAAACAGCTAGCCTATACATAAAGGAATAGGAGGTGGAAAAGCAAGAACAGATTTGCTTCTGCAGAGGTCTTGCCCAGATCGACTCTTGGTGAAGATACGAGAAGGGGCTATGGTGCTGGTTGAGGAGGTGAGCCAGGCTGGGGCCTTCGCTGGATAGTGACTGTGAGTCCGGAGTGCAGGGAACTTGAAAGCAGAGACCCAGTGATTCCAAAAGAAAGGAAGTGAGCAAGAGGCCAGGAACACAAAGAAGTGACCTTGTCTCGGAGTAGCTCTGTAGCAAGAAAGGGCACAGACTTGACCTCAAAGATCCTGAAGCCAGTATTGATCAGAGAAAGGTCTGCGGCCTCAAGAATGGGTTGTCCTTTGAGCTTAGTCAGCTCGTACGTGCAGAAATGAGCCTGAAAGGACATAGAGTGCTACTGATTACAGGGTGCATGTATCATCGCAGATTTGGTGGGATTTTAGTTAATCTTTCTGTGAAAATAATTTAAAAAGCAGTGACACTCCTCCAGCACACGGGAAAATTGCGTGAAGGAAAAAATAACATGTATATATATATAATTTTAAATAAATATAAGAATAAATTCTATTAGTTGAAATTTACATGTACTCGATCCAGCTAAAAAATTAGTAAAAGCATGAGTACTGGCTGAGAGCTTCAATAATTAGGATCATTAGAGACATCATGAACTAAAATTATATGTACACCTTGATATTCTTCTTTCATTAAAGCCATTAGTTGTCTGTGACTAAGTAAAAGGTACTTTTAAATATATTTTAAGTGCATGTTAATATCCAATAAATACTTCCAATGCTAAAGCCTTCAATCAATATTTTTCTTTAAAAATGATCAGCTGTGTCCCTAAAAGTACAAAATCATGGTTCATGAGCTTCCTAAAAATTCTGTTCTAACAGAGATATTACCTTGGTATAATAGTTAAACACAGCATTTTTTTAGGTGACCACATATAGATTTACCTAAGGATACAGCAAAAAACACAGCAAAAACCTATACAGATAATTAGACTTAAAATAAATAGCCAAAGAACCAAATTGCCAAAATAAAAGCTGTTTCTATGCCTACTTTTCAATTCATTCATTCATTCATTTGACAGATATCTTCCAGTATATAAGGAAGTTTGCTATATAACAATGAAGAGATCAATGGTCACCTATACCCTTTATCACTCATTCTTGTCTGTCTACTTAGCCCTCAAATACTCACAGTCTTTTTTCTTCATAATTCTCAAACGATGTTCTCATTATATATTTCCATGTCCACTGAATTAGGAAGTCATCATTTCTTGTCTAGAATTGCAGCCGCCCCTTAACTAAATTACTACTCTCATGGCAGAAGAAAGGAATAGGAGATGGCATGGGACATTTGGACAACATGTAATTCATAGATCTGTGTAAGTGTGGAAAAGGTATAATACCTTCCTAATCTATCATAAGAGTCGTGATTGACAGTACTATAACAACAACAACAAAGTTAACAAAGAAAGGCATAGTAAATTTATTTCATCAAAGTTTTACATGACACAGAAACCTTAAAAGTGAAGACCCCAGTAACTAGGAAAAACTAGTTCTATGCTTAGGTTCAATGGAGAATGGGCAGCTATGCAGGGACAAAGGGTATGATCTAATAGTAATCCAGTGAGGAGAGAATCCCAGCGAGGACTATCTGCTCAGA